TGGCTGAAGTGTTACAAAAACTCAGCTTTGTAAGACTAAAGTCAGAACCTAACGTCTACACCAACGCGACTCGCGACTGCTACATCATGGTCTACGTGGATGATCTCTTGGTACTTGGTGACGAGACTACTGTCGACTCCACCTTCGAGGCCATCCAGAAGCAGGTCCTACTCAAGCACATCGGCTACCTCGAACCTGGCAAACCACAACAATTTCTTGGAAGAAATATCGACCACTTTGGCAACTACTGCAATCTTGGACTAAAGGACTCCTACATCGACAACATGATCGAGGAGTCTGGAATGAACAACTGCAACTCAGTGAACACTCCAGGAATTGCACACTACAAACCAACAATAGAAGATGAAGCACTACTTGACCACGAACAACACAAAAGGTACAGAAGGATTGTTGGCAAACTACAATGGTTAGCATACACACGACCAGACATTGCATACTCCACAAAAGAACTAGCACGAGACCTCACAGCACCTACAGAACTTTCACAAAAGAGAGTCAAACATCTACTACGCTACTTGCACGGCACCAAGCACTACAAATTCACCATAGAACAACAACACTCAGAGCAAACACCAACAACATCCTGGATCTCGACGTTCATGTCGATGCCGACTGGGCAGGATGCCCTACTACCAGGAAATCAACTTCAGGTTTCAACATCATCTTTTTAGGAACAACAGTTGCATTTGGCAGCAGAACACAAGCTACAATAGCACTCAGCTCAGCAGAGTCTGAACTCTACGCCATTTGCACAGGAGTTAATGAGGGACTACACCTCAGAAACTTCCTACTTGAAACCAACATTTGCAGCAAGCTAAATCTACGCATCCACACAGACTCCACAGCAGGCAAGAGCATTGCTACACGACAAGGCACTAGCAAACGAGCAAAACACATCGACCTTAAATTTCTCTACACACAAGACCTCATCAAGCACGACATCATCAGAATCCTCAAAATCAACACACTACACAACAGCTCAGACTTGTTCACAAAATACATTAGCAAAGAAACACTACAGAGGCTCATACAGAGCATTGGCATACGTGTTTAGCACTACGAACAACAACTGTTTCACAACTGTTGCACATCAACCACAACAGTTTGTATATGGCCATATGTAACTACCTGCATTTAAGTAATAGTAACAGTAGCAGTGACTACAAGTAACAGTAATTGTAACCACCAGTAATTTGCACTTGCACTTTCGGCGGCTTTTGGCGGCTTGAGTCAACACTACATGTTGTTTTGTGTTTTACTACATGCCCGCATGTGCTTTTTGTGAGCTAACATTGGCTCACTACTGTCTGCCCCGTTTCACTGCATCTCGATAGGCCGAACTACCAGCAATGGCTGGAACTATGCCCATGGATGCGACTACGCTGGATGTCATGCCGATGGAGGTTACTACATCAGCGCCAGAGACTACTCTGCCCGTCGAACAACAGGCTGGCAGTACTACACCGGACCGTGTTTTCACACCACCGGATCGGCAGGGCACTACCGACTCCAGCAGCATGGCTACTTTGGCCACACCACCACCTGAGGCCTACAACTCCCTCAACTACAACTTCAATCACCAACTACCCACACCGGCACCTTTCTACAGACCCGACGACATCTTGGCACACCTCACTACAATTGAGAACAACATCCCTGACACTCCAGCGATCGACCCGGAGCAGAACTACTTCAGGGTCTACGTGGCTTTGACGCTCGAGGAGTTCCAACTACTAAGTCAACAACAAACTACACCCATCCCCGAGCTCAACTACAACCTACCAGTTCACGACCTACCTTCAGACCTACGGATGCCACACTACGACTCACTACCTCTTCACCTACGTCTTTCAGAGGCAGTCAACTTCTACTACTACAACCTAACATCACTACACCTCACAACTCAGTACACCAACTCGATGGTCATCATCCAACTACACATTCCACCAGAAGTTCTACTACGATTTGTCAGTGCTGGACAACTCATCAACTTCTGCCGCGACTACGTGAGCCACATGATCTCAATCAAAGACGAGCACCACCTACCTACACGCCAGCTACATCAACAACTACACCGAATCACCTACAACTTGGACCAGATCACCACTACATTCAACCTGTCCAACAACTTCATTTGGAACTACCACATGCCCCTGTACCTACCAGAACTACTCAACTACTTCGACCAACCACAACAACTTCAAGACCACCACTACAAGTCCATCAACACGATGCTACACAAAAGTGTCACCTACTACGGCATCACCCTCCTCACGGCTACAAATCTTTCCACACACACAAACTACTACTCCACAACTACCTCACTACAACCGGCCAAGCACTTGCACCACCAGAATGCGACTACAACCGCCTCCGTGGCGGTCCAGACTTCCTCAACACATTCACTACCAACCACTATGCAGGCTTGGACTACCGCATCAGCCAAGTCCAGAACTACCGAGTCCAACGCTGGACTAAGCACACCTGATCTCTAGGTGGAGCTGCAACTACGTGCTGTACTACGTCATCGTACTACGAGATGACTGAGAGCCATTTAGGGTTCTTGTACAGCAATTTCACTTTTTGATCATTTGAAGGTTAGTTGAACTACAGACAGCAGCGCTGTGGATACCTACCTTCGGTCATCCTTTTTTTAAGAGACTACATGCCTGTTCGCTACAGTAGCATCGGCAAACAACATGTGCATTCGTTTTTGCCACTACTGTCAATACCACCTTTTGGGTCTATGGTTAAAGGACACTACAAGGTCTTTTAACCAAGGGGCCGTGTCAAATATCATGTTGCGCTACTTGTCACTTGTGCATGCATGATGTACACTACCCGACTGCAGGCCTTGAGTCTACCAGGAAAAGAGTGCATGCTGGCTAACTACATTTGTGTTTGTGACAACAGAAACAACACTTGCACTTGCAGTAAAGTACCAACGTATTTTAACGACAGGGAGAGAGAGAGAGAGACTTCGAGAGAGAGCGAGAGAGAAGAAAGAGAAAGAGAAGAGAGAGAGAGAGAGAGAGAGAGAGAGAAAGAGAGAAAGAGAGAGAGAGAGAGAGAGAGCAAGGAAGGAAGGAAGGAAGGAAGGAAGGAAGGAAGGAAGGAAGGAAGGAAGGAAGGAAGGAAGGAAGGAAGGAAGGAAGGAAGGAAGGAAGGAAGGAAGGAAGGAAGGAAGGAAGGAAGGAAGGAAGGAAGGAAGGACAGCAAGAAGAAGAAGAAGCAAAAAAAGAGCCAATAAAGCAAAAAAACACCTATAGTTTTTATATTTTTGAAACTTCCGCCCACAGACTTCACCGACCCTACTGTATAGATATGTGTATATATATATATATGTTGTGACATGATGATTGGTTGCTCAATCCCACTTGCCCAGAGAGAATTGACGACTTAAGTCGTATATATACGCATGTCTAGAAAAGTTACAGGGGGGGAAGTAGCCTTAAGATCACCGAAGCCCACTCGAGGCC